CAGCCGCGTCGCGGATGTCCGTCCAGTCCTGGCTGGTGTCCGTGGTCCACACTGCGGTGGGGCTTGGGCGGCTGCCGACGGGTTGGTGAAGCGCGCGGTTGCCGAGACCCTCAAAATTTGAAATTCGAATTTTGGCGGACGCAGGCTGGCGGGCTGGAGGACGGCAAGGCGACGCGTGTGACGTACAAGACACGGCGGTGGCGGCCCCTTCGCCGTGGGTAACCAGCTTTGCTGTATGCGGGAATTGTGAGGCGCGCGACGCATCTTCCTGCTCGGCGCATCTTCACGTACGGACGTGCCGTCGCCTTCGCTGTGGAAGCGTAGAGCAGCGGGCGCGTCTTCGGCATCGCGCTTGTTCCATCTCCTGAGGTAGTGCACAGCTGCGGGACGTCTACGGGTCACACAGTGTGCGTGGTGTCCAGTGGCAACGTTGAGCAGCGGGCGTGTCTTGGGCGGTTGCGGCAGGAGCGAAGGTGTGGCGGGTAAGCGATTTGAGGAGATGGATGGCGGAGGCTGCGGCCACGGTTTGCGGGCGGAAGAGATGGAAGCGGTGGCGATGGCGGTGTCTACCGTCGTCCTGAAGACGATGAACGAGATGTCGTCGTCGTCACGAGACGTGGCGAAGCAGCTCCGTAAATGACGAGCGCTGTTGCAGAGCGTTGCCAAAGCGGCGGATTGCGTGGCGACGTGTGAGGCAGTGGTCCAGTTGTGTGCCGCGCTGTCGTCTGGCGTTTTCCCCCGGCAGACCCCGCGATGGTGGATCAAACGACGTACTGGCGGAACATGGGAGGACCTCCGGCAAAGCGATGACAACGGTTATCCTGTTGCCTGTCCATGGATCGTGCAGCCGTATGGAGGAATAGACCAAGGTCCTGACGAGGAGCGCTTCGACAACCGACAGAAGGTGGCGCGGGGGTGTGTGGAGAGGGCGTTCGGCCGACTGAAGTGCATGTGGCGTCTGTTCTTGCGCACCCACAAGACGAACCTGGAAACATTGCCACAGCAATTCGTCGCCGTCTGCACTCTCCACAACATCCTCCTCGATGCGGGGATCGACTTCGATGAGAACCTGTTATGGGAGGTGGGTCCGGACGGCGTCAGGCGCAGAGTGGACTTGGGCATTGTCGGGGGCGGCGGAGGTGGGCGGCCACAGAGCTCCAACGTCGAGGGGGAGTTGTTGCGGAATGCGCTTCGCGACCGCCTGGCTTTGATGTAGGCCCTCGCGGAGAGGGAGAGAGAGAGAGAGAGAGAGAGAGATGGCATGGTCTGATCGGCAGGCGGGTGGTAGTGTGGCATGCTCCGTGTCCTTCGTCGTCGTCTGCGCATGCACTGGGTGGATGTAATGGCGGCTTTGTTGCCGCCGTTGAGTTATTTTTTCTAGGTGTCGTCGTGCAGACAGATTTTGGTGGCTCGCACGGTTGTGCGAAGCTTTGAAATTGGAATAACCTTTTTTTTTTTTTCTCTTCGCTCATTTTCTTTTTCGTTTTGTTCCATTTTTCTTGTCTTCAACGGCGTTCGCCACGTTTTGGACATTCGTCGTGGTTCATGGAATGTTT